GAATAAAACAAAATATGTCATTTAATTTCCAGTCACACTTTTTGTTTCATTGAAGTTTTGAGTTTTTTAGAAAAAATTCTCCCACTGAAAAGTGAGGAAAAATAATTTAAAGAAACACACACAATGAAAACTTTCTAGACTTATCAAAACATTTTGTTTGGTTGAAAAAATTCCAAAATAAATGGAATCGCCTCCCTCCCCCAAAAAAGCTCTTGAATTCCTTCAAAAAGCCAGTTTTCATAATTTTTTATTTTTAAAAAAAAAACACAATAATTTTTAGCCACAATAATGCTATATTGAATCAGGAGCCAAAAAATAATATAAACCTTGAAAACAACATATTTTTCATATAATCCCCATTTAGAGGTTGGTAATTTAGCTAGTGTCAGCCACTTTTCTTCTTTCCCTCACTTCTCTTGGACCCCACGGGAAGTGGAAAGGGAATGGGGGAGCTAGAGAAATGAGACACTACTGAGTTTCTCTGCCTAGAACAGATATAAAAATAGGTCTGAAAGAAGTGTGAACTGATCTCATTCATCACAATGGAGTGTTAACTCAGAAGCCTGGTACTGGACGGGTGAATGCCAACATGGCTAATTTCTTCATTGCTGATTGTTTTATGGTTGGTCTACACATAGAAATTGCAGATTCAACTAAATCAGTTACTAAATCAATGTAATTAAATCTCTTAATTTAAGGCACTTAAATTAAGTAAATTGCATCAATTTTAGCCACACCTAAACTGATTTAACAGTGTTCCCACATGGGGGTGACACCAGTTTAACACTAGTCTGTGTAACCAATCAATTGCAATACACCTGTTTTGTTGTACTCAGCCGATCTCCGGTTGAGCAGGGGTTGGACATGCAACAAACCATGGCTCCTGCCCCCTCCTCCAATTTAAGGAAGAGCTACCACTGCTGCTTAACTGCTAATGGCCTTCTTTTCTTTGTGCTTTGTCACTCTACAGAAGTAGAGCTCAACTCCTGCAATATATAGGAGAGGAGGAGCCAGGAGGCAGCACATAAAAAGAAGGAGCTGACTGATAGGCAGCTCTCCTTCAATGCTGTTCTAGACCTGACTTAGTGGCAGCTGATGGAGCTTAAACAGAAGGTAGGTGAAATGAAGTAAGACCCTGGGGGAGTGTGGCAGTATTACCATCTAGCAATGAAATGTTGTCCCATGATAATTCACCATCAGCTCTTTAGTGTTCTATATAATGAGAAAGACACAGCATGGCTGAGTGGCAGCTGTGAGTTCTAATCCTGCCTTTCCACTAGCTTAAAGTGTGGGACAAGTCACTTAACCTCTTAATGTCTCCTCCTGTAACACTGACAATACTTCCTGGAGTCTAGTGAGGGTTAATTGTTGGTTAGCTAATGTTTGCACAGCCCTTTGCAGAAGTAAGGGCTAAATATCAATGGCAAGAAATGCACTTAGGGCCTGATGCTCCACAGCCTTGCACTTTGTGTAGTCAACTTTTCTTGTGCAAAGTGCATGTAAATAGCTGCCAGATCAGGTTGGGAGTTCTGTGTGTCCTCTGTATGGAGGTGAATGAAGCAAGGCAGTGAAGAATCAGGCCTTTAATGTCTGTTTGAAAAGTGATGTTGCCCTGACTTCCCCTGGTTTAACCGCAGAGTTTAAAGGCCTGATTTGCAGGGGCACTGAGAGCCCCATTAACTTCAATATGAGCTGTGGGCACTCAGCACTTCCGAAAAACAGGCCCTTGTCCTAATATATAATCATCTGCACAACTGTAAAAATGTTTGGGGGTGGGGGGGGAAGAGTTTATTCTGAGCTCCCTCTTAATAAATATTGCAGGCTACTTAGGACTTCAAAAGAAAAGTCCTAGATTTCATGGGTATGCCCACTTAGGTCAGCTACAAGTCCTCAGTTTATTTAGGGCTCCCCCACAGTGCCAGCACATGACCTCTTGGCTCCTACTAGGATGTTGCACCACTAGGCAAAGACCAGACCTTTTCATGGACTGATGCAATGTCAGGAAGTAGCATCACAGTGACGCAACTCTTTCCTCCCACTGACTAAAGACAAAATAAGTAGTCTCATGTCTGGGAGTATTTAAAAATACAAATATTTCCTTGGGGGTGGGGGGAGAGGGGAGAATGATCTTTGGCCTCTACTTGGTTATCTTTCCATTTATAGCTCCACTTGTGGAGCGGGAAGGATTGTTTTCCTGTGTGTGACTACATTGCTGTACTTATCAGAAATAAACCACATTAGTTCCTGCTGTCGTGTAAGCTCGTGCCCAGAAATCAATTTGGCGGGGTTGGACAGAGTGAAAGTGTGTGTTTTGTTCTAATTGAGCTCTTTCCAAAATCAACAAACTCTCTATGCAGTCCCAGAGTAGCTGGATGTTTCTCCTAATATATGACATGAAATAGTTACACAAGAAGTAGGCTCCAGAGTCAACACATGACTGAGATGAACAGAAAATAGATCTAAGCAATATACAACTCAAATGATAATTCAATCTGCCGATTCAGGAAGACACACTGTATAGTTCACATTCAGAAGGGTTTTTTTTGAGTGAAAGTTTAAATTCTCAGAAACTGATGCCCCCTGCTCAGCCCACTTCCTGCTGATGTTCTAGGGTCATTCCTGTATGTGCCCCAAGAGAAAAGTTAGTTAGCTCTACAGTGAGATCACTCTTCAAAAGAAAAACAATCCTAGCCCAACCCCAGCCTCCACCAACTCTTACTAGCACAGAAGGGAGGTTTCCTCATTTCAGGGTGGTTCTACAGCTTGTCTTCACTGCAGTGTTTTGTTCCAGATACAACTCAAGTGTTGTCCTTCATCTGACTCCTGTCCACAACCACAAATCTCCAGCTGAAGTTAAATGGTGCTTTAAACCTGAGCTAGATATCCGGTCATTAGTGGGTTGAAGCTCTAGTACTATTTGTAGTACTTGGGCAGGTGGGTCTAGGCCTACTCCCTTAAGCCACACCACAAATGATTTCTGGGGACAACAAATGGAAAAAAAACACCCCACTCATGGGAGTGAGGTCAAAGGTAAAAAATCAGGGATCCAGAGGAGGACACTAAGCAGAGATCCCTCGACAACACCCACTGCTCCTCAAAAGTGTCTAAGGCATACATGGACGCTGCCTACAGAAACTCTGCTTGGAGACCTGACCAAACAAGGGAATGGAAATAAACCCTACAGTCACCAAGCACTCCCCCATTCAGCTTCCTTCTCCTGGTATGATGGATGCCATCTTGGCCAGCACCAGGAGGAGGTTGATGAGGAGGTCCTGTGACTTTGTGACGGATGTCGTGTGTGTAGATCAGGAGATGTGGGGAGAAATGCAGCAAGGATCTCAGTAATAGGTTTTGGAGGAGCCGGAAGAGGGGCTGTAACCTAAAGCATTCTACAAAGACGTGCACCAGGATCTACCTCTCATCACAAAAAGGACAGGAGTCAGAGGTCTTCGTGGACTGTGCCAGGCTACATGCCTATGCTCATAGCCCTGTGGAGGAGCCACCAACAAATATCCCCAGTAGGCTGTGGAACCAGAGTGGAATACAGGCTGGTCCACTAGGTTCCTCACTCGCCGTAAGTAGCAGAACCTGCTGTCAGGGCAGGACATAAGGGCAAGGAAATGGAATGTGTGAAGCATGTGCATGCACAGATATTCTCTGGGTGTGGTTTGGAGGTAGATGGGCTGGATATTGTGCAGCCAGCTCAGATGGTGTGCTGCGGGCCTCATGGGGCATGGGCCTGATGGAATGTTCTGGAGGGTGAGGGGTGGGCAGTGAGCACCCTCCTGCAGGACCTGTGTGAGGAAAGCAAGAGAAGCATGAGTCAAGTCTGCCTTTGCCTCCTGGATCACATGATGGGATGCGTGGGGTGGAGAACCTCATGCACTGGCCAAATGCTGCGGGGTCCACCCAGCCCCTCTGAGCGTAGTTCAGAATGTCTCAGTCTGGGGGTGCCAGTCAGGACCAACCTCCGGCACACCCAGGGGGACTCCATCACTTGCACACGTAGATGGAGGGTTGTGTAGCAGAGGTTTGGTATGGAGATCTTCCCCCTTGACGGTTGATATGGACCTGGGTGCTGACACTAGCTTCCAGCTCCTGAGGAGGTCCTGGTGAAGAAGATCTCAGGGGAGGTGTCTCAGGTAGAGATAAAAGAGCTGCTGGTCTCTGAGGTGGCTGAGGAAGGCATGTGCCCGCACACTCCACCTGCACTGCTGAGGAGTCTCTGCAGGGCCTGAAGGTGGAAGGTGTAGACCTGGCTGTGGATGCAGACTAGGCCCTGTCTGCTTTCCCCACAGGGAAGACTCAGGACATCCGCAGAGACCCAGTGTAGCCCATTCCAGAAAAATTCCTTCTGGAGGCGGGCCAGGGAGCATGGGGTGGGCTCGGCTGCTGAACCACTGCCAGAGCACGGGCAGGACCAACTTGTTGAGCACCAGCACCCTCCGCTGAAGGGAAAGACACCAAATCAGCCTCATCCACCACTGCAACCAGTCAGACACCCTGGCCTCTAGATTGATTCAATTCTCCAGTGGGGAGGAACTGGTGGCAGAAGGGTACACAGACAGATGGAAACCCACCAAGGGCCCCAGGCACGAGCGGGAGGTAGGACCTTTCAGTGCCACCCCACTGATGCTCCACTGAGTTGGCCAGGCTCATGGGCTGCTAATGCCATGGCTTTGCCCCGCTCATCATCCACTCATGCTCTGTAGCTTTGGCTTGAGCCTGGCCAGCTCCTTCAGCGTAGTGGCCCTCACAGTGAGCGGAGGCAAAGTCTCCATGTGGCCGCTTGTGACTGTGAAACCCTTCGCGAGTCTCTTCAATCCCACGCCCAGGCTGGGTCACAATCTCAGCCCATGCAGCCTGCCCTCACCCTGAGTCCCGGCTCACGCCTGCCAGCACTTCTTTCCCTTTCAACTCCTCCCTCTTCCCCACCCTCTCCCTAGGGCCCCCCTTATCCTCCCACCCCCCTTCCCCTTCCTCCCACTGACTAACTTCCTCTTCACATTCACAATGCAGCGGGTTCTCAGCTCTGGCCGGCAGCTGCTCCAAACCCGTTCCTGCGGTGGGGTGTTTTTCTTCCCCTCTTGATCCGGAGCAGCCCGGGAGGAAAAGCCTGTCAGGCTGAATTTACAGCCCTGGATGCCTGCCTGCCCCGATCGCTCTCACGGGGACGGAGTGGGGCTGGGACCAGCGCTCCCTCGCTCGGAGGTGGATGCGGCGTGGCCGGGAGCGCACGGCGGGCTTTGGGAAGAGAGGTACCCAGACGTGGCTGCTGAGCGCCCGGCTTCACCGCCCTGCCCAGCGCAGAGAGCCCCTTCCTCCGCCGGAGCCCCCCGCTGGCTCTGGACCATGCGCCTGGGGAGGGCCAGTTTACCTGCGGGGAGCAGCCGGTCCCGGCACCAGCAGCCACAGGTTAGCCCAGCCGCCCCCCACTCACAGCAGCCAGCCGGCTACGTCAGGACAACGTGCTGGGGGCGAGGCGAGACGGTTCAGTCTCTTGTTTGGCCATCGCTGGCTGTCCCCGTGCTCAGAGGAGAGGGGCACTGCCAGACCCTGGGCTGGGGGGCAGAACAAGTCACTCTGCCAAATTGCTTCGTCTCTCCATTCCCCAGCACCCCCCTTAAAAAGCACCGCGTAGTCTGTCGTGTGAGGCAGGGAGCGGAGAGGAACTGAAAGATCTGTTATTGCATCAGATTACTGGAGGCTGGGGGAATAGAAACCGGAGAGGTGAATGTGGTTCCTCCCTCTGTGTGGGAGACTCAGCATCGGCTGTGCAGAGGCCTGGGTGGGGATCTGAGATGGAGAATTCTTGACCATCCCCCCCTTTCTTGGGTATTACCAAGGCTTTTAGCTAGTTGTTTAGTCTACTTGGTGGATTTGGGCTAATGCCAAAAATGTGCTTCACAGAATGATTCTATAATGTCTCTTGGCAAGTTCCTTCTTTTTCTTACGGTTTGGAACCATTTGTTTTTAAGAAAACTCTCCATCTTAAAAAATAACCCTCGTCTTTTATTTTAAAAATGCCTTTTCTATCGTTCTGAGGTGCCCCAGCATGTGTGCAAGCACAACTTCTGGAGAGGAAGAGTTCGCAAATTAAATTTTTCTGTGTATAGATTCTTCTATAGTCTGTTAAACCTGGTTCACTAGTGGTATTTATTGTTTCTCATTTCCCTTCAGTTTTATCACTCCTTAACAGTGATAAAATGACTGGACTGGAGCCTGGCCTGTGACCATGAGAATAACTTTCAGCAACTGGCAATATAATCTTTTGTAAAAGGGGCTGGTTATAATCCGCCTCTCTGACACAACAGTTATATGTTTTATATAGAGTTTTCCCCAAGGTCGTCCCCCCCCCCCCCACTGCACTGAGTTTTTATTAATTCCCACAGATCATCTGTTTCTTGTTGGATGGTTAAGAGCATAATGGGCTTCAGGCTTCAGTTACAGCTTCTTACCCATTTATGGAGAGTTTAGGTTCCTGTGGTTTATGTACAATGTGTATGTTGGGCCAAATGCTGCTTTCAGGGACGTATTCAACTCTCATTTAAATCAACAGGCATTGATGAACAGTAAGTAAGGTTTATTTTTTTTGGTAACTATAGTACTTGCATCAACAAAGGGGCTCAGTGGGCAGAACTTAGGAAATACCATTTGTGTGAATGTGTGTATTGAATAAAGGACATTTGACAATAGTACATCCACACATACATGAGCTTTTGGTTAAGTTTCGGTTTCAGCTTTTCTTAATTCTTTAATAGATCATTAGAGCAAGTATAGTTAGACTTAAATAGTTAGTGCTTTGTTGTTTTGTGACTGCCTGTAAGTGGCCACCAGCTCTAAAATGCATATGTCTCGGCTTGTTATATTTTAAATTAAACTGGTATGTTTGAACCAGATCTGTGCATACGGTATTCATTTGCAGGTGTTGTCCTATCTTTATAGCTTATTTGCTACAAGCATTCAGATAATGTTATCTGTTTCTGGAATCAAAGGACGCTTAATTGTTCTCCTGCCTTACTGGACCAGCTCCACATCCAGGCATAGAGCATTCTTCCTTACTTATGGTACTCTTCAAGTGCTCTTAGAAATAATTCTCCTATTTCCAATAAAAATGATGCACTCCCCTGCAGGTAGGGGAGTGAGTGAGTGAGTACACAACTTCATAAACATCAACTTAAAACAAATGAATTTGGTTAAAGGGAAAACTTGGCTTTGCCTCACCATTTGAAAGATCCAATAGTGAAGTGCTTCTTCAGGAGAATAAGCTGTGCAATGTGAGTAAGGGCTTGAACCCTGACATCTTCCATACCTCATCCTGCCACTGACCTCAATGCAGGCTCGAACCCTAAGTCAAAGACTGCTGGAGAGGTTACTGGAAGGCGATTTCCTTTGCAGGGGCACAGGGTCTCTGAGATCATGAAACCAGCATTGCAACTGTGCAGAAACTCTCATAATTGTAGAGAGAATTCCAGTAGCTTTTGGGCAACATTTTAAAAATATTTACACTTTAAGACTTTGACCCTGCCTTTACAGGCTGCTTGTTTCATATGGTGTCAGTTTTGTTTTTACGTGATAGCTGCCACCAGTGTTCTCCAAAATGGTGCCCACTGTCTTATAAAATGTGTATTTGCAGGTTATAAATGGATCCAGGAACTGGCAATAGGATCAAGTGTCTCCCACCTCTTTTGGCTGCCAGTTCAAATCTGGCCTGTGGTGCTAGCTAAAGCTGTTACCATCTAGTCACCAATGTGGGCTGTAGAGAGTTGTGTGAGCTGTCAGTCCAGCACCATTTGCATGCATTAAAAGCAGCTTTTAACAGTGTATTTTCAGTGAGAGGGGCTTCTAACAACAAGGTGCTTTTTGTCTTTTTGAACTATCAGTGTTGAGCTGAGCAAAATGCTGGCCCAAAGAAGAGCTCTATGGAGCTCAAAGGCTTGCCTCTTTCACCAGCAAAGTTGGTCCAGTAAAAGATATGGCCTCGCCCACCTTGTCTCTCTCAAAAGGGGTACAGATCTTTTGAGGCTGGAGTTCTCCCCCATTTCCCACCCTTTGGCACCCCTTCCTCTATCTTGCCATCCATGCCTCGTCTCTGCCCCGGAATCTTTTGTGTCCTTTCCCATATGCTTGATGGGACCCAACAGCACAGATGGAGCTTCAAAGGAGGCTCTGCAGTAGTTGGCAAAGCTGCTTATAAGGAGTCTAGAAACTGAGGAGGACCTGGCTGGGAGGGACTGAATAAATCTCTTTGAATGAATGGTGAGAGACAAGGAATGAGAATGTAATTCTGATTCACCTAATTCCCTGGCCAACTACTGATACCTTCATGGGAGCTGTACGCTTTAGGGTGAGGGCAGCTGCTTCACGGGGCTGCTACAGGAGCACAAGTGTGGTAGGACTGTAGGACTCCTGCCCTTAGATCTGGACAACTGGCGCGTGGATGGGAGTTTAAAAAGGTGGCTGGAAATCTCTTGGCTTGTTGCTACCTGTCTCTTTTGGATTGGCTGGTAGTTGATGATTACCTCCTCATACCACATGGGGGTAGGAGGAGAGAGGCTGAAATGAGAGACTTACACTTGTTGTTGTTTTTCCTGAGTTGTTGGGCACCTAATCATGTGGAGGAAGGGCAGGGCGGGCTGTATTGTGTGGTGTGGCGGCCGCGTGATGGCTTGGCCCCTGAGGGTGAAATGATCGACACAGTTGTACTTGTTCTGAGTTGTCAAAACAAAAACAAATGTATGAAACCTCCAGAGCAGGCTCTGTGGCTGGGGGTGGCAGCCCCAGTAGACATGTGCTGGATGGTTTCATTTAATTCCTTTCATTGGGGGGAGGCGGTGGGGTGGGAACCTCACCAGCACCCTTTTAAAAACCTCAGAAATGTGCCGGATAAAGCAGATTGTGACCAATCAGTTCTTATAATGAATATGATTTTCTTCACATTTCCCCACTTTAAAAAAAGAGAGCATTTCTTTTCTTCTCAGCCCCCCCCACCCCCCCACAGCTTCTGGGAAAAACCCATCTGAAAACAGGAATAAATCTATTTAATCCGCCCACCTTTCCCCCCCCCCCCCCCCCAGTCATTATCTGTGAGTGGTTTCAAAATCGCTCACAAAGGACTCTGCACGTGCTGAAATTCATTCAGGCATTTCCCTTGCCTCCGCTTCCTACACGGATGGTAGGATGAGACAATAGCCTTTGTTTTTGTAGCTTTATCTGTGCCAGGTGCTTATCAGTCTTGTAACTGTTAAGACCACAAGCTTATAAACCTTTCTCATGAAAGTAGTTCCATTGGTTTTGTTGGCACTACTTGTATGTGTAAGGCAGGATCTGGGCCTAAAGGTATAGTCCCAGTGGAGGCAGCTGAACTGTATACACGGAAAAGAAAAAGGGCTTCTCCCCTGTCCCCCCCACCTCAAATAGCTGTGTGTTCATATATTGCTTATTGTGCACGCAAACTGCTTTTAACAACACTTAGCGCTTATTTAGCTTTTTCATCCTGGAGTGCTTTATAAATAATGGAAATGGACAAGTAGCCTGAGCAATAGATTACAAAGTTCAAACACAGATTAAATATCAAATGGGCTGTTTATTTGGGATTTGTTCTTAAATGAAAAATATTTACCCACAATGCTATTCAGGAATCTGGCCTAGTGGCGTGGGATGGCAGGAATGATGTCCTCTTAATGCTCCTCAGGAAGGTGGGGAGGGAGAAACGTCTTGCAGTTCAAGCTTCAAGAATATTGTTTCAAAGTCTCCTCATAATGACAGATTTCAGAGTAGCAGCTGTGTTAGTCTGTATCCGCAAAAAGAACAGGAGGACTTGTGGCACCTTAGAGGCTAACAAATTTATTTGAGCATGAGCTTTCGTGAGCTAGAGGTTCAGCATCCGATGAAGTGAGCTGTAGCTCACGAAAGCTTATGCTCAAATAAATTTGTTAGTCTCTAAGGAGCCACAAGTCCTCCTGTTCTTTTTCCTCATAATGAGTTAGACACTGTTAGTTCAGTGACTGTTAAGAACTGCTAAATTTGCAACAGCCTTAAAGTAAATGTAACCAAATGAAAATACTTTGATAATTCAGTCTACCAAAAAACCCTGTATGCTGGAACACAAATTCATTAGGAATTGGGGAGAGGAAAACGTCCTTTGTGCATGTCAATTAATAAATTTACTGTTGCAGTAATGTAGTATTTTGCACTTAATTTATTGTGGGGTTAGGGTTTGGTTTTTTCAGTTAAAGAAATTTGTTGTGCTTAGTCTGATCACTTTAAATATAGTATTTAGCATTAGAATAGTTTAGGTTTTGACATTCATACCTCCATCAAGGAGAAGGGGGGGGGGGGGGGGGGGGGAGGGGGAGGGGGAAGGGTATGTTTTCCCTTCTGTTAGTTTTCTGCAAGGCTGGGTTAATCCCAGC